AAATGATTGAACACTCTAATTGGCTTGCAATATGCCCTAGGCTAGCTGGCCATCACAGGATCCTTGTCTACTTGCAGAGCTTACTGTGCTGTTGGGTCTGTATCGTTCGATCTACTTCTTCATATCTTTCTTTAAACATAATATGAACACAAACCTGATTTGCTGAAACTGCCATCCTCTTCAGCATGCAAGGATACAGATCCATTGCTCTCTTTTGGCTGTAATATTACCATGCTATGCTTTCTAGATAGTGTCATTGGCTGAGGTGAGCTGCATCATCCTGCCCTTGCAGAGGGAAACTCTATGTCCCTCTAAACTCATTGCTTCCACAGTGATTGAATAGCATTGGCTGCCAGCCTTGTGGCTGGCCCTTCCAGCGCCAGTGGAAGGAGATCTCCACCAACAGAGCTCTCCATCCCAGCTCTTGTGCACCTACCACTGAGTTCCTACCTGGAATTCATAGTCACGTGAAACTTTATGTCTTTTAGTACCCTTTCGGGGCCGCGGAGTGTACATGTATTTACGCCCATTCAATACTCCTACACTCCTACGGTATGATACTCATACTTGTAACAACACAGACAGATCCAAAGCACAAAAGAAACCACGCAACCCGTCCCTAGCTAGCTAGCTCGAAGCCATTGCTTGTGAGGAACGAGTACAGTACGTGCTGCATGGCATGGCTACTGCAGTAGTCAAGGACGATGGGGCCATTCACTTTGGCTTTCATCGGTCCAACTATTCCCAATTAAGTCTTCATCTCCTGTTGGCCGTCTTGATTGGCGTCACATTGCGCCTGACGACTTTTAAAGAAGCCACGGATTCCGACATTACCAACCAAATCGGCGACAAGTATGTCGTCAAAACATCCTTTTTGGTTTCCTTTGGCTTTACCAAGGCACTTTCCAACCTCCTGGTGGGCAGAGTTTCGGATGTGTACGGCCGAAAGCTTGCTCATACATTGGGGTGGGGGTTTGGGGTAATATTGGGAGGACTCTTGTTGGGATTGGCATGGAGTGTCACAAATAATGAGAAAGAAGAAGAAGAAAGCGCTGCTACTCTTTGGATCTGGTATGTCGGAGCCAACATATGTCTCGGAGCCCAACAAGGATGGACCTGGACGACCAATATTTTCATGTTTTTGGATATCTTGGGACCAGAGAATCGAGCCATGGCCAGTGCCATTTCCAACAGTGCCGGCTATCTGACATCGGCAGTCACGACCTATGCGGCCGCTGCCCTGTCGACCAAAGAGGCATTTTGGTGGGTGCTAGGATCGTCGCTTTTGGGTTGCGCCGTCTCTTTTTTCTTGGTAAAAGACACCACTCCCTTTGTCCATCAAGAAGAAGCAAATATCCATTCACAAAGAAGAATCCCCATTCCACAACAGGAAATGGTCGATTTGCAATCTACATTTCCACCTCAAGCAGAAGAAGATCAGCTACGCTTAGTCCATCCCCAGGGAGGCGAGTATGCAACAACAATACCCACCAAGCCCTCTCCGTCTTCTTTTGGAGCGGTATTTGTCACCACCTGTTGGTACAATCCCAGTGCCGCTGTACTTTGTTGGGGTGGCTTAACCGCTAATTTGGTCACATCCTTGGCATGGGGATTGGTACTCATTTGGGGCGCACAGCAAGGCTTGTCCACGCTACAATTGGCCCATATTGGATCGGCATTTACACTCACCAAGGGCACTGCCATGCTGGTGTCGGGGTATTGCAGTGATCGAATCGCCCGTCGGAAAGTCGTCTTGATCGCGGGGTATCTAGTGGCGGCATTGGGGTTACTGGTCACAGCAGGGGCCGACAATGACAATAGCAATGACTTGGCAGCAATTTACAATCGACTCTTGTGGGGTGGCATCATTATTGGATCGGGCATTGGGAGTGTCTATTGCATCTTGACGGCCGGATTGAGTGATCATACGCCACCTCAAGATCGAGCATCTGCCATTGGGGTCTACAAGCTATGTGCGACGGGATACAGCTTACAATTCAGCTTTACAGCTTTACAATTAGCAGGCTTATTCTAGAAAATAATCAATAACTGCTCACTTATTTGGAAATACAAACTTTACATCTCTTAGATCGTTAGATCAATCCACAATGGTATTGTCGCACTATGGCGGGATTCGGGATATGCCTTTGGAGGACTCTTGACAGGGTGGATTGCCGATGCTTCCGGCGGCAGTTTTGTCACTACCGCTACCGTTGTGGCTTGTCTGGTAATGGCGCTGGTAATATGCATTCTACGGTTCTATAAGGAGATTACTCGGTGAGGTACTGTACTGCATAGCACATGCATGCTTTATGGGGTCAAGTGCTTTCAACATCATTGAAAGAAGCACCTGTGGCTCGGCCAAACCAAAACGAAGTCTGAAAGTTGAAATTCCAACCACTCTTCGAGTCTCCCCTTCATTCAGAGAAATTCAAGATTCAACAAGTGCAAAAGACAACACTGTTTTAAGTCCTCCCTATCAACAACCGAAACAGCTCCCACAAAGCTGTTGGCAGAACCCAAGAATCCTCGAGATGAATTGCTACGATTGTTCGCCAGCGATGATCGCTTCAATCAGTTCTGTTGGTCCCAGACGCTCAAACAAGAAATCAATCCATGAGACAATCAGCAATACTTTCACCTGGAGGTAGATCGTAGTGAATGTCCTTCAACTATTGTTTTTCAAGTGTGTTGCCAGTTTGCCTCCAACGCCAAGTACATAGAATAAGGGAGTAGATTCGGATACCTCAAAGATGAATTTTCGAGGCTAATGAAGTAACACGCGCACGAGGTGAAAATTGAAAAAACTGTTGGAGATGAAAAGCACTGAATCTGGTATCTGGTAAACAAGAAAACTATATTGTAGTTTCTTCTACGTCTTCGTCTTCGCCCACTGCTTGTTCCCCAGGATCTTCCTTGTTGTCATTGTCGTCGTCATTGCCTTGACCGCCACTAGGTTGTTCTTCACTGGCCTCCTCTGCTTCCTTCTCTTCTGGTTGTTCCTCCGGAATTTCTTCCTTGTTGTCATTGTCGCCGTCATTGCCTTGGCCAACACTAGGAGGTTGATCTTCACTGGCCTTCTCTGCCTCCATTTCTTCTGCTTGTTCCCCAGGATCTTCCTTGTTGTCATTGTCATCGTCATTGCCTTGGCCGCCGCTGGGTTGTTCTTCGCTGACCTCCTCTGCTTCGTTTTCTTCTGGTTGTTCGTCAGGATTTTCGTTGTCATTGTCTTCCTCATTGCCTTGACCAACACTAGCTTGTTCTTCACTGGCCTCTTCGATTTCACTTGCTTCTGGTTGTTTGTCCGAAACTTCTTTGTCTGCGCCCTTGTCCTGCGCCCCATCTTCAATGGGATCCTCTACTTCTAATGCTGAGGTTGTTTGTTCGCCTTCTCCTTCTTTGTCGTTGTCATCATCGTCCTGAGCAACCCCAGTTTCACTGGGCTTGTCGTCTGCTGTCGTTGTTGACTTTTCTTGTTCCTCTTGTTGTTGTTGATTTTCTTCGGTCACCACGTCCTGCTCCGCCGCTTCAGCGTCATCAAATTGATCAGTGTCCTCAGGCTCTTCTTGTGCGTCTTTCTCCTCTTGTTCATTGTTGTCTTCTTTACTATTGTCGTTGTTGTTGTTGTCCTGCGCACTGCTAAATTGCTCTTTTGCGCTGGAATCCTCTTCATCTTTTGCTAGATCCTCTTCTTTTGCTGCTGCTTTTGATTCATCTCCTTGAACAGTAATCGTAGACCCTTCTACCTCCATTTCGCCTTTCTCATTGTTGTCGTTTTCGTTGTTGTTGTTGTTGTTGTTGTCCGGAGCACCACTACTAGGTTCTTTTGCGGTGAGATCCTGTTCTTCTTTGGCTGCTGGTTTTGGATCATCTCCTTGGCTACCAGTATTCGTAGACTCTTCTACCTCCATGATTTCTGTTTCTGTATTATTATTGTTTGCTTCTGTGTCGGTGGTTGTTGTGGTAGGTTCCTCAAATCTAGCACGTTTGGTGGGTGGTTCCTCCGATTCTTCTTCCTGAGCATCTTCTGTTTCTGTGTCTTTTGCGGTGTCATTTTCCTCCTCCTTTGATTCCATCGATGCATCATTGTCCACGTTGGAAGTTTCTGTGTTGTTGGCAGTTTCTGTAATGTTGACTTCGCTTTCTGCACTATTGTTGGCTTCTATTTCTGTGCTTTTGGGTGGCTCCTCAAATCTAGCTCGTTTGGTGGGAGGTTCCTGCGATTCTTTTTCTTCAGTATCTTGTGTATCTGTGTCGTTTGCAATGTCGTTTTCCCCTTCCTTCGATTCTGTCAATGCATCCTTGTCTGTATTTTCCAAACTATCCTTGGTTTCTTGCTTGTTCCCATCCCCATCTTGTTGTTCCATCATAACAACATCCCCATCCTTTTGTAAATTGCTTTCTTCTGCTTTTGTCTTTTCTTGCTCTTCAGTCTCTTGTTTCTTGACAGCCTCGACTGCTTGTTGGGCTGCTGCGGCTGCCATGGCGGCCAGTAATAATTCCTTTTCCTTTTGTTGCCGTGCCACTTTTTCTTCTTGTTTTCGATTGTAGTCGAGTGCTTCTGCTGGCGTCAATGATTCGATGGGAACCCATGTCGGAATGGTAAATCCGACTCCCATGGCCGGAGGTCGTTGGACTTGGGTCCATTTTCGTGTTACGGTGTCGGTAGCAATGGGAGTACGTTTGTTCTTATTATTATTGCGACTACTACTCCCCCGTGCTGCCAAGGATTGTCCCGTTCGTTGTTGGGTGGCCGTCCGCGTACTGCGACTGCGACGGCTGGCGGCAGAAGTGGCAGCACTGCGGCTGCTGCGGGATGACATAATAGCTACCGTAGTAATGAATGAAGAGAGCTCTTACTATACTAGTAATAAGAGAGACAACAAGTTGTTGTGGAGTGCTCTTGTCGTTGTTGGCGTGTTGTTGGTTTTGGGGGAGCGTGGAAGCGAAACAATAGGTCGCTCACTTGACTGTATCTTTCAACGCCTCCAACCTTCACAGCACTCCACCGACTTTGACCCTTCTGTTGGTGTTGCTATCCCTAATTGGCCACTCCACCAATATTACTCATCCATGATCCTCCTGGAAGCTTTGAATTCCGTTGTAACACGCCTGTTACCACCGGCTCCTGGCCAAGATGCCCAACATCCCCTCGCGTTGGAAGCGGTTCCTGGTCTAGTGACCGTCTTGGATGCGGCACTCTACCGTGCCGTCGAAGGACAATTGACGGCCACGACATGTGCCGGTCATGCTCTTCTCAGTGCGTGGTTGGATTTGAAACATCAAGCGCGATTGGTCTTGCGCGAGTTGGCGCAATCGGAAGAATCACCCCGCCGGACCATGGCCGAATCGTTTTGTCGACTCGCCATTGAAGCCTGTCAAGATGCCACCGAACGATTGTCGACAGACAAATTGGCCCAATCGGCCAATCTCAGTGATCCGTATACGACCACGATTGCCGGAGGCTCCAATACAGTGTTATCAGGAGTTGGAGTCCACGGCATTCGCTCGGGTGTCTTGGATAGCCAAAAGGAAACCGGACGACGCTTTATTAGTGAACAACGTCCGAAAGATTGTTGGGAAACGTCCCGTCTCATTTGTCCCGACTATGTCTGGGCCGATGATTCCTACACGAGTTGTCAACGATTGATGCGTCATCTCACCCGACATGCATTCTACAATGATAATAACAATCATCATGATGTGGCACAACAATTATTATATGGAACGCCCAAACAACGCGTCCGATTGTCGGCACTTGCGGAACAATATGTTGCGATACTCCTGAGAGTCGTTCAAGACAGTTTGCCGTGTCGCATGGCGCAATTCAAAGCGGCGGCGGAAGCCGATTCGGTCGTTTCGAAACGATTGTATTTGGTCAAGTGCGAATATCGAGCGCCGTTTCGAACCTTTCTGGAAGCCCATCAATCGGTGCAACGGGCCCCTTCTATACAAGCCGTGGGAGACTATTTGGCGTCGACACAACCCGCACCAATCAAACAACAACGACAAAAACAAGCGCAAGCAACATTGCAAGCATTATTGGAAACACCGCAATTGTTGGAAGCACTGGCATGCGAACGAGATGCCGAAGGCATGGAAGTCGAAGTCGCCAAAGCATTGTTTCCATTTACGGAAATGGCACGCATTTTAGAACACAAACGAGGACGATTGGTGGCCCTCCCAGGGGTAGTGTCCGAGGAAAAGGTGTCCGAATTGCAGGGTTTATTGAGGGTGAGTTTAGCATCTTAGCAAGTAGTTTTGTTTTGCAACTGTGCGACAAATCTTTTTTCTAACTCTTCGTATTTATTTCAAACAAACAACAGCGCCTCAAAGTTCTCTTGTGCCGACGATCGGGACAAGAAACTTCCACGGGGATTCGACCTCTGCTGTTGGATATCCGAGGCATGCCAAGGGATGAGGATGTCTACCACATTAGTGCTAGTACTAGTACATCATCGTTGACGTCAGTATCCAACAATAAAACAACCGACATGGATGTAGATTCCCTTCATCGTCTCGATCAATTGGTCGACAATCTACGGCTGCTGGGCTCGCTCATGAAGAACCACAAGAATGCATTCCCCACCGATAGTAAACGCAGTGATGTCGACTTTCCAGCTTCCATACTCAAGGGATGCACCGAAGAATTTGATGGCGAGTTGTTTCATTGTCAGGTACACGATTTCTTTACCATTGTCAAGGAACAACGGCATGCCATGGAGAGTGGGGATGTGGAACGATTGGAGGCAGAGATTCGAAAAGCGGAAATGGAAGCCAGTTTGGCCGTCGCTTCCAACCAGAATCTGGAAATGGTACGACAACGACTGGAATTGCTCGGGTCGGATGGACAAAAACGATTCGATGTTCTGAAACAAATGGTCGAAGAGGTTTGTTTGAGAGAAATGAATCTACACGTCTCATTGACAGCTCCCGATCCATGCAAGACACTGTTGCTCAAGCCGACGTCGGCGTTGGGGTTGTTTGGCTATCATTTGCAGCGCAATGGGGAACCACTGCCTATTGGGTAGGCAGTCATCTACTCCACATGAGATCTTGGAAAGTGCATTGGACTCCTCGGCATTGTCTCCTTCTTCGTCCAATTCTACATTGACCATGGTACGTTACTCTCCTGCTGCACTGTGCCAATCAATAAACGGGCCGATTTCTGCCGATGGTCATGTTTCTGCCTTGACCCTTGGATTTTTGGACGCCCTAGAACAATGAGTGACACTTTATACTGTCTAGTGAGAAAATAGGACTTTCTCATGTGCATGCTTTAAACAGCAGCAATGTGATATGCTCGATTCCTTTGCTTGCTGTGCCTGCTTGCTACAACTAACTGAAGATGATGCACTTCTAACTTTCTTCCTTGTTTTCCTTTTGCTTCCAAAGAAGGATGGACGTTTGCTGCCACATGCATGGTGATACATTGTGTTACAGAACATTACCAAATGTTCCTCAATAATTATCTCCCCTGATCCCACGGAACCTAGTCTAGCTAGTCCTGATTCCGACTCTTCTTTGCCTAAGCTTGGCCCTCAATGGCTTCCCTAGATAACCTCACTACTCTAAACCCCTCTTACAAGCGCTAATAACACACGATTTTTCCGTCGTGCTCCATCGTGTCGCCTGAATCCTTTTCTTCAATCAACAGTCGGCCGTGACACGTGAAGAATGTTCGTTCCACGGACTCTTTGCATTCTGTATTCCAGAATGATCATTGAATCGCTCAGTTGTTTGATGGCACATTCGTTGTTCACCTCCAACGTGCCGCTTCTTTTTTCCTTCTCAGCGGCCATTACCAAAGTACCCCTGGCTAGAGCTTCGACGCTGCAAAGGGAAGTAACCTTTTGCAGCTGCCAAGCCCAGCAACAGGAGACTCAGTCCTTCACTAGATTGTTGGCAACTGGTATCGGTTGCGCTACGACAACTGCCTGTCTCTTGCCATGACACTCTTCACAAAGGACCAGGGAGATGCAGGAACTCCATCTCCCGGTGGAGGCACAACGGATCTCAACACTTTGGCTCCTTGTCGCAAGGAACTCAACGTTGGACTGTCGGGTGCTGCCGGAATGATGCTGCATACATCTTGCTTCTGTTGTGGCATAATGAGAGAAAAATCCTCCAACAATGCTTTCGCCGCTTGCCGTCCCGTGACGACGGCCTTTTCGGTGCTCCACGAGGCATGACCGGCCCGATCGATCCAGTCGCCAGCCATGTACATGCCCTTGTACAGTTTGACGGGTGGCGAAAAGGATGCCGATTGTACGGCAAAGTGCGATACGGCATTGCGGGCTCGCACCACGGCCAAATCGACAATATCATCACTAGTGGGCATTTGTGTGGTTGGCAACGAAAACGTAGCTGCAATGGCGGCGAGTGCCAACTCGGCCACCTTGTCGTCGGGTAGATTGGCAATGTCATCGGCGCGAAAAAAGTCCACTTCGAGAACCGCCGTGGTGTCATTGTTGTTGTTGTTGTTGTTGGAGACGGCAAATTCATCGTGCAACCGTTGCAAATCGTAAATGCAAAAGCCAGTTCCTTCCAACTCGGGGATACCACCCATTTTGGGTCCACACACCGTGACGGGAGACTCTTTCATGGCTTGAGCGACACTGGGAGGTGCCTGCGTAGCATCGTATTGACCACCCCGTAGGTTGTTGGTGACGACTTCATTTGGTTTGAGAAAGAGCCGTACTGCCACACACGTGACACCTCGTAGTTTGTCAAAATCCTTGGCAATCGGAACAGAAGCAAAAGCTGGAGATTCAGGAGCCAACCGACCCATGGCCGTCCCACCAACTGCCATGACGACGGCGTCGCACTGCAAAGTGTTGTTGTTGTTATCTGCTAGAGTGATTTCGAATCCATTCTTGTCTTGTTGTTGTTGTATGGACGCCACTTTGGAATTTCCTTGAATGGTCACATCGTTGTTGGAAGTCAATTGTTCCGCCCACGGATTGAATATTTTTTCGGCAATGGCTCCACGACACCATCGTACATCAAACGCACCTCGAGCTTGCAAGGCAAAGACATGGAAACAACTCAGTGCGGCCGCGGCCGAACAATCGTACCCGGGACACATGGGCAAGACATGGAGCAATGGCAAGACCAATTCGTCGTACAACGTTTGAGTGACTCCGGCTTTTTGTACGAACAAGTTCTCGGCGGAAATGGCATCGTATCGTGCCCACGATTGTTCGTCTTCTTGTCCAAAATCGGCCCACGCACCGAGCAATCCAATGGCTGAAATGCGATCGGCCGGTGTCAAGGATACTGCCGATGACGAATCAAAGTCGGCCAAGAGTGCCAGATCCAATGGAACCGGCAACAAAGCTGCCAATGGTTTGAGGAGATTCTTGTCGGGTGATGAAGAAGATGCAGACAAAGGTGATTTCACGACGGATTGTAGCAACTCGGCCAATAGTTCTTGTGGTGCTGGTGGTGGTTCCTCCTTTTCTTCCGTCTCTATCAGTACAGGTGCCACGGCAACTCGTCCATTGTTCGAGTACAATACCGATGGAGTAAAGGGCGTGAGCACATCGTTGTCCAAATCCAACCCAATTCGTTCCATGACGGCAAATGTATTGGTGTATTCTCTCCAAAAACCGTGAATGCCTGCTTCCACAGGACGTCCTTGTGGCGTCCGCCATCCACCGGCGAGACCTCCTTTGCCACGAGGAGCGGCATCCAACAGAGTAATCTTCAGATTGGTATTGTCGGAAGCGTGGGCCAAGGCATCGGCAGCACTAAATCCAGCCCAACCTCCTCCGACAATGACCACGTGTTTCTTCTTTTCATCATCTTCTTCTTGTTGTGATGATGACGCGTCGAGCAATGGCCATCGTTGGCTATCCGTAGTTGTGGTTCGAGTGGCACCGCCAATGGTAGATTGTGGTAGTAGCAGGAATGCATCACAAGAAGAAACACTAGCACTAAGGAGCACGTTCAGCCAGGGCAAGATCAGCAGGAACATAGTCGAGGAGACCATGGCAGAGTAAGGCGATGGACTTCAGCCAAGGAAGGATAAAAGTGAGGAAGGATGAGGTGGATGACTGATCAATGAGTCACTCTGACCCCACGAGCACTCAACTACATGTATATCGGACCTCTAAATCTTTGTTTGACCACTTCTTCGTCCAATAATTTGCATCTGACCTCTAAGTCCAACGATCAGACCTCTAATTCTCCGTCAGCAAACTGCATGCTTGTTGTCCGGAAGTTGCCTTCGCGACGACCATGCACCCACGGCCAACCCGTGTTGGCGGCATCGGCATACCATCTTGCTATAGCTATAGTAGGTCCTGTGTTGGTTACTTTATAGCAGCTGTTGTGAATGATTGTATGTATGTCAAACGGTGTATGTCTGTCTGTCTGTCTGTCTTTCTGATTGATGGATTGATTGAATGAATGAATGCAAAGAAAACGTAGCTCAAGAATAGTACAAGAAGAAGGTTTGAAAACCGCAAGCGACGAGAGAGACAACAAGGAACATCATCCTTATTATTCGAGCCACCGGCTATCTATAGTGATGATGAAGGTGATATCGAGTGGTTTCCGCAAGACGATGAAGAGCTTTTTCGTGGGATTTTTGATGGGAATGGTGGTCCTACGACAAATGCCTTTGGCTCTTGAACCGTATACCGTGCAGGAGACTGGGGTCAATAATCAGCCCACCAATAGCAGCGCCAGCGCCGTCGCTATGGATACTAATCCAAGAATACCTACAGAGGATGTCCAAGATAAGGATGTGGCTAGATTCCTAGATACACAACCACAACCACAATCAACAGAAAAACAACCAATCGAACAACCAGCAATAGAAACTGATCACGAGAATCCAGTCCAACAGCAACAACAAGTAGATCAACAGCAACAGCAACAAAATGAAGTCACTGCTGTTGACATGGGTGATGAAATTCCCGCTGTCAGTTGGGAATCCCAAAACCAACCAGACTCCACTCTTCCACCCACGGCCTCGGTCTTTCCACAATTCATTCAAGACTACATAAAATTCCACAATCAAAATCGTGGACATCCCGCTGCCAAATATCTCATTTGGAGATGTCCGCCCAATGGCCAATGCGGTGGTACCGGAGATCGCATCAAGGGCATTTTGTCCGCCCTCTACACGGCCATTTGTACCAATCGGGTCCTACTCATTGATTGGCCCGTCGCGGGAGGAGGCGACGTCTCCCAATTTCTACAACCCCATACCATTGATTGGACCATTCCCAATTCCATCAAGGCATATATGCAAACACTAGTGAAATACAGTGCCATTGACAGTTACGCCCATCCCGCTTTTCAACAGTTGCAAATACCCGCGCGGATGGCGGACTTTCCCATGATTGATATGCGCTCCAATTTATGGAGTGAACACGTGAAAGCCGTCGTGTCCGTCAATGACACGCAATGCGTCCAAGAACAATTGTGGACCAAAGAAACCGTACCCAATCCATTTGCACCACAACAAAAGGTACTCTTTCGCATGGGATTCTGGGCACTATTCACGTTTGCCGATCAAGTACACGAACGAAAACTCAATATGCAAATGAGAACGGGTTTGTTGCTCGAACAACAACTCAAACGACAACAAGAGCAAGAAGCAATGCAACAACAACCAACTAGACGACGACGATTGCAACAAGATCCCCTTCAATTGAAAATCAATCAAGCCGTACGGACTCATTACGCCAAGGAAACCGCCCGCAAACAAAAAGCCATGATTCAACATCAACTGGCTGAACAACAAAAACGAAAATCACAACTCCAACGATTGCAAAAGGAAACCGCCATGGCCGGGAAAACAACCCTCCAACCCTACATTG